CACCAAATAAAGAGGCGGTCTGTTCGGTTAGTTTCACTACTCCAGGAGCTGCGAGCTGACGAATTATTTCTGTCCCGAGCCCAGTTTAACACCGCGGTCAGTTTAACGAGCCGCTGGYCCGCATCRGTGCTGATATCTCCAGYCAGAACRCCAACTGCAGACGGTCGATTTCAGCTAAAGAGCTGCTGTCYGTCTGTTTCAGGTTAGTGGGCAACATTCRGGAAACCGTCACGTGGAAAAATGAGTCTCTCTGATTGGTTGACGTGGCGYGTCGAGCAGCATAAGTTCAGATCTTTTAGCTCGAGCATCGGCTGCTTTGGACGCGCCGCATGCACGTCAAACGCTCAAACYGCACCTACCGCTTCTAACCGTGCCATGCTAAACGGGCTAGATGCGCCGTGAGACCCCTAGACGCGCGTCCACCATGGACTTTGCATGTAAACCAGCCGCTCCAAAGCGGCTCGAAAGCTCGAAAGCTCAAAACGCTTTCGGTGTGAACCCAGCATTAATGTCTGCATTCTCCTTTGTTTTTTAACAATYTTGGATTCAATCACTTTTGACCTAGTTTTAACACTTTAGCTTTTTTGTTGCTCCACTTTCAGCTGTTCAGTGTTTACTACTCTTTCCTGTAAATGCATCCTGATCCCTACGAGCCCMACTTCCGTCATTGTGCAATCACTGCCATGTTTGACTTCCAGTTTCAAAGTCGACCTAGTGATTCAACRGACAACTTGTCAAAACAAAGTTATCGCAGCTGAAATACGATCAGCGCAGTTATCAAAACATCATAATGGGCTTCCTCTTGTTGAGAAAATCCACTGTCCACATACAGTACACAAGCTTTAAATCAGGCAGCGGGGGGTGGGGAGTAACACCAAGGCTGACATGTGGGCAGGCGGATGATTTCTTATTGATTTCCTGTTCCTGTTGAGAAGAGGGCTCTCAATTACCCCTCGAAGAAAGTACCGGCCCCCTAAACACAGCAAAACTGCAATGCCTCTGAGATGTTACAGCACAAATAAAGTAACCCAACTTAGATTTAACCATAGGTAATTACATTAATAACAAAACTGCTAAAATTAAAGACACTTGATCTAATATAGAAAACTTCAGCAAGTATTTTTTTAATCTAAATTCTCCCTTTCATGCTGTTTCAGTATACAAGTCACTGTTCAGTAATTAAGCTTAATAGCAATGAGGGGGAAAAAGTAAGAAAGGAGGGAGGAAAAGGGTACTCTGGAAAAGTTAACAACTTTGAGACAAAGAAGCTGTTGTCAAGAACGGCGTTAAATGAAAACACAGCCCTTACTACGGAAGCAATCAGCCTCTATTAGCTCGTGTTGGCACATCTCAATCCTCTTAGGAACAATGAAACACACATACACAAAGCTTTTAGTCAGTTTCATTGCATGACCTGCAATCTATACCTTATAGCATCAAGTGGAGTTACCGTGAAACTATGTTTAATTAGAACTGCTAACTCAAGTAGTTCGATGCTGAAATGCTGTTTAGCAGAACCTTGCTGTGCACTACTTTGCATAAAACAATGTGATTAGTTATGAGTCATGAGAAAGTTTCCTAAAGTAAAAAAGAAACAATTAGAAAAGCCAGGCGAAGTCTAGTTAGGAAGTAGATTGATGAAAGGACACGACTATAAAGGAAAAATCTATCAAGTCTTTAGCAGTTAGAAGGAAAGGTAAAAGGAGAGCTAGTGTCAGAACAACTAACCGGATTTCCCTACCTCCAAACCACACGGTTGTGGGTTTGGAAAAAGTAGTAAAAAAAAAACATCCCAATGAGCAACGTTGTAACCTGACTTGATCGTGGTCTGAATGTCTGAATAAAMGAATGAACTGCCTTCTAGAAATTATTGAACAGGAAACAGTGAAGCAACTATTTTGTTGACTAAATGATTCATGGATACAACAGCAACGCATAAGGTCAAAGGACAAAATGAGAACAAAATGTAGCCGATTGGGTAAAACCTTAAAAAYAAAACAGCAATGTCATGCAAGGGTCATGTGACATGTTGGGAAWTACTCTCAGCTACTACCACACCAAATTTGAGCTCACTATCTGTCAAAATTTTGTGTTCGCTAAGTAGATTAGCTGTGTTGCGCATCTTGAATTGGCTCGAAAATGTTGCACATTTAATGATTACTTTTTGAGAGTTTCACTAAAAAGTGCTGAGTGGTTACTAGGTTGGGCAATATTGGYAAAAAAAWTTTTTATCACAATTAATTATAGTATTTAGCTGATAGCAATTAATGTGAGGATTGATCCCGWGGAGTCCTTGGACACCTGCTSCCCTAGTCACRTGACCAATTTAAATCACTCTAGTGGGAARGATTTACTCTCCGTAAAAATCTGTTCCAAACTGTGTCAAAAACACAGGCTTCGGGCTAYACATCAATTTTTAAATTGTGTTGATATGCCAAGTAAAACCAGTCATGATAAATGATTTACAGGACCTTTTTTTTGTCAAATGTTCATCATATATGAAGCGYGTTGCAGCGGGAGGCAGGGAAAGACAAACAGATTCACGGAAAAAAACACCTCAGTCTACCATGTAGTCTCACCCCCACCCACCAAACTAACATAAACTTCCCAAACTCCTTTCTGACTGAGACTTAAATTAATTTGACAAGAGCTAAAAAAAAACAAATCTGGATGAAGAAAATAAAAAAAAAATGCAAAAATTGAATGAAGTTTGGCGATGACAAAGTCAGAGGAAATGATTTAGAGATCAGATTTAACGACGTGTTGGATTTTATAGTTAGGGTGTAGTATAGTGTGTTAAGTTTAGTCAGTTTGTCTTTGAGTCAAAACAACGAGGCGTGAAGCTGCAGCTGCTGAAATGGAGGTGAAGCTGCGGAACGGCCTGAGTTGCAGGCAGAAMCATTGCAGACAGAGGAGGGAATACAGCTACAAGATATTAGGTATGGGTGTAAGAAAATATCGATACACTGAAATATCGCAATATTTCATTTCCCGATACTGTATCAATATTCTAAAGCCCTGTATCGATTTTTAATTAAGGTTTAAAATGTCAACTTTCCTGCCAACCGTTCATTTTTATGTTGTAGTTCAGCCTCTGACCACTAGTTGGCAGCAGTGAGCCAGCCATTTGGCTCCTCTACCTCTTGAGCGCCAGAGAGT